ATTTATTAAATAAATAGTCTACATTCTTATCGATGATGCTTTCCATCTTACAATCAGTTTGTCAATGCCCTGATTAAAGAAATCATTTGGCCTTGAAGCAAAAAACATGTCCTCTTTAACACCTTCCACAGTTGCTTACGTTTTCTTATTAAGATGGTGTTGCAGCGAACGAAAAAGATGGTAATCTGATGGTACCATATCTGAAGAATATGATGGGTGGGGTAGAACTTACCAACCCAGCTCCATAATCTTGTGTTGCGTCAAACGTGCCACATGTGGACGTGCATTGTCGTGGAGAAGAACACCTTTTCCGATTGACGAATGAAGGGCTTCATTTAAACGTTCCGGTTGCTGACTATAGGTCTCTGCATTGACAGTTCGCTGTGGATTGAGGAGTTCGAAATGAATTACTCCTCTGATGTCCCACCAAATGCAAAGCATCTCTTTCTGTGGATGGAGTCCAGGTTTTGGGGTTGGAAGTGGTTTTTGTCTAGGGCTGAGCCATTGTTGTTGGCGTTTAATATTCGCATAGAGAATCCATTTGTCATCACCGGTGACAATTCTGTCCAAAAATGTTTCACGCGCATTATGTGCCAGAAGAGACGAAGCAACATTCACACGTTGGAAACGATGATCATCGGATAGTTCGTGTGGCACCCAGACACTTTTTTTATGGAGTCTTCCTATATTTCAGAGCCATTTCACGAGTGTGTTGCCTTGGGTTAGACTCAACAAGCGTCTTCAGAGTATCAATATCAATTCCAACATGTCAGCCATCACAAATTTTATAGCTAAGGTCACCTGAACGAAATTTGCTGAAATATGGTTCACACTTACGAATATTTAAAACATTTCCATAAACTTATTTGATATTCTTTGTCGCTACAGAGGCGTTTTCCCTTCTTGTATTCAAACAGCATTACATGCCGAATGTGTGTCTCGTCGTGGGCTATTACTATAAGGGATTAGAGTATACTAAACTTTACACATTATATAGGCTACACTAATGTGATGTTTAGGCGGTTCGTTTAACTATTATAGTGATGTACGTTTTTTTTTTGGGGGGGGGGGGTAACGAAAGTTTCCCAAAACACGACATTAATGTCTTGACGACCTAATATATTGGATCGATTTTTTGTATGTAAATACACAGTCCAGAGTAAACAAGCTACATTATCTAGGATCTCCAAAATTAATTTATTGGTATATTTCACAATTAGTTGTGCGCTTTTTCAAATCAGGCTGATTGATTCTAGTGTGAAACTTGAATTAATGAATGAAAATAACTCATAAATCTGATTTTGGACAACTAACATAATATGTAGTTAATTTATTAAGCTCTTGTCTTTAGCGTAGTAAGATTTATTCAGGTACTTGTCACCAGAAGACGCTAATGGAACGAAATGGCGAACATTTAAACTGTTTTGATATGAATGTATTTTTATGATTCGCTATTCATTTACCACTAGGGATAGTATAAGAAAAAATCGTTTATGATAATCTTGTGCTTATTTTTCTGGAGAGATTCATTGAGTATTGGAAAGTCTGTATTCTAATATGAAGCATGAAGAAAACCCACATATACCTCAAGTTAGTACTGGAAACTAGTTTGTTGGTTCAAGTCCAACTGTCTTTAAATCTAACCTACTGATTAGAGGGAGAGCAGTCAGTTAACAGCATCTGCCACCAAAAGAGCTTTGTCCGGCTTTTTGGACCAAACAAGATGATTGATTGTCAGTTTCATAACACGCCAACAACTCAAAGAGTAGAACATGTTTTGTATCATTACGGTTTAGACCTTGAACCTTGCAGTACGTACTCGACTCGCTTAATATCTTTAAGAGAGATTTGAATTGAAGCTCAGAATTATGATTAGATATATACAAGACCTTCGTTATATAAATGTGTAACGTTAGAAAATTGCTGAAGTACTAGTTTTTCTGAGGAAATTATGAAGGGTCAGTGGATTTTTTAAAATATGAAAAAAATCGACAATTTTAATTCATACCAATTAAGTAAAGATTTATTTCTAGGTGGCGAGTGAGAGAATCAAAAGGAGTACATCGGCTCTTTTTATCACGACAACATCGTATAATTCTTGTTACGTAGTGCTTTCAAATATATGGTAGTTTTTTTAAGAAATCAAAGTTTACCATGAGTTCACAATTAGGTAGAAATGCCTAATATACAAATGTCATCAAGAACTTTCATTACATTACCCTTTTATGAATAGAAATAACAAAAAATAATAAGAATGTCTAGAATGAAAATAACTTGGTTGTTTGGTGCAATAGAGAGTTTGATTTTTCACATCTGCACATATTTTTTTCTACTGACGTGATGGCTCAAAATGCAATGACATTGAACTGTCCAAATGCAGAACAGTGTGTGTGATAACCCGAAACTGAAAATTATTACATAAATACGTCAACATTCTTGATGTGAAAGCCCAAAACTGGAGGTGGATTGTATAAATGTGTCCAAAATTCATGATAGAAAATAAATAACAGTGATAAATTATTTTGACATTCTCTTAGGTTTACCCAATTTTCAAAATCAACCAATCCTTAATGCAACATGAATATAATTAAAATTGACTTGTGTTGTTGCATGTTACAGTCTTATCAAGCTTTTCTGATGAGGCTTATCAAGCGTTGTCACGCAGCATGATTCTTTTTTTCTTCAACTTTTTTGTATTCTCTTCTCTTTATTAGAAGTCTAAGTTTTATAAGTAATCTTAAGTATAAGTAAGTTTTTATATCATGAGATTAAGTCTAATGAAGTAACTGAGCATGAAAACATTTCAATGCTTCTCATTCTCTAGTATTTAACATTTACCTACATAATGCATAGTGAACCCCCCAACATAAAAAGAGTGAAACTAAAAAGGGAACATCTTAAAAGATTTTATGCTACCGCAATTAAATGAACAATACTTTCTCAGCCTCATAAGCATGCACGCCCCTTTAATATCATTAGACAAGCATAATGGTGCCGTTAGTTTTTCCACAACTCTTTTAACCTAGATAGAAATTGCTATAACATTCTATACTCACCAGCACATTATATGTATTTTGCAATAAATCACCAAACTACTGACGAATTTCGTTAGATAATAACTCAGTTTAGAATAATTTCGCAATTAGCTTTTATTGTAAATATCAACTAAGCCTATATTATGATTTGTTGGCACCTCTTAATATCTTTTTTGCACTTCCTTCTTGTGGTGACTATAACGTGTTTTTTCGATACTGTTTATTCTGGCAGCAGCGCCTATGGTGACAGTCACTCTTTTCTTGTTTCTTACCAGCACCATCTTTGTAAATAGATCCAGCTGCTTTTTGTTGAGATTTCTTCTGTTGTTTGTTGGTAATGGACTTGCACTCCTTTGCAATGTGTCCCATTTTATAACAAACATACAATCTCTTCTCTCTTCTGTCTATTAACCTCCTGTAACCTTTGGTAAACTCTTGTTTCTGGTCAGCCACAACTAGTTTCGACTTTAAATGGATATTTTTAGACTTGCCAATTATACTACCTCTATGGGCTTCCATGTACTGTTCTACCAACTTGATCATCTCCTCCGAATCTTTTGATGCTCTCTCCTTTAGGAACAGTTACATATCAGTTGAGCATGTGATCATGAATTGACCTGTCAATTGATCTGTAGATCTGTCATTACCTCAAAACTATTCATCTTGTGAAGTATCGCCGTAGACGTGCCACAAACTTAAAAACGGTTTCTCAAGTTTCAGGTTTGACCTCTCTGAATTTTTGGTCAGTTCATATCGTTTCAGCAAGGCCACTTTTAACTTGTAATAGTCCATGACATCTTCTGACGTCATGCCTGCGTATACTTTAGGCCTTCTGCTGTGAGAAGTGAGCTGAGACAGACTGGCCAGTCGCCTGTATCCCAGTTTTGACTTTTGGCAAATCTTTCATATCTCTTCAGGAAAGCATCCAGTCATCTTTCTGTTCATCAAATTTGGGCAGCTTGGATCTGCTGACCCTGACCTCATTTTCATTCTTGTGTCCTTCT